CGATCCAGGCCATAGAGTGATGAATGATATGGCAGATACTATTATTTTTTGAGAAAGGATTTTGACTTTCTATTTCTTCGTCTTGGTACAAATAGAAATGGGAATCTTCCAAAGAGAGAAAGGAAGCAATCAATTTGAAAAAGTAAGTCTAAACATATATCATGCACTGTATCATGTACCATGCAAAGAAGTGACTTTCAGACACAAACTGGAAGAAAAAGCCCTCTCGAAACAGCTACTTTCATATAGACATCCAATATTTCGTTGTAAGACACTTGCCTTAGCAATATAATTACCAAACCTAGATAACGTTATGAGAAAAAAAACGCTCGATCAATTCATGAAATTATGTGATTTGAAAGGGACTATATATAAGATTTGAAAGGGTTATATTTTTAGGAGTGATTAATTTTTGGGAAAGATTACTTCCTTCCTTTCTTTGGAAGATTCTCTCATCCATTTTTTTTGTATCAGATGGAGTAGTAGAAAGCCAAAAACTTTCTTTCCCATAAAATTATGATTTTATGTCACGGAATGAGTTTGATCTACTCATGTCATCGATGACATCGTGATGACATTCATCCACTCATTCCAATCCAACATTTTTTGTATCAGGATGGTGAAGTAAAAAGCTAAAACCTTTCTTTTCCAAAAAATTAACCTGTCCTAACAATATTTCCATTTCAATTCAAACAAGATTCTTTTGGCTAGGAGTTAATCAAATAAGCAAATGTCATGTCAATACGATGTCACCGATGACATAAGTAGATCAAACTCATTCCGTGACATGAAGTCGTAATTTTATGAATGCAAATACAGTCGGAGGTAGAAAAAAAACGGCGCACAAGGTCAACCAGTTAGAGATACTAAATTATACTGAAAGTAATTAAATTATATACATATACTTCACTACATTATATAACTTGTTCATTATTGTCTTCTGTGATAAATTTCACATAGTTATCTGTACATACATAGTGTTTACACCTGCTGTCAAACTAGTAAGTAAATCATCCGTGCTATACAAGCCAGGATTTATCAGTCTCACTGTAACACTTACAAAAAAAGATTAACTACAAAAACTAAATGATATGAACCCGTATATTAGGGACTTTAGTACACAAAAACTATAAACAGAGATAGCAGTAAATTTCGACGTATGTAATTCGTTATGTAAATTCACATTTCATCATTTACATCTCTATATATACTCGTATAATTCTAGGTTTAGTCATATGTTTTAATTCACATTTGTTATTATTGTTGATCATGTGGGGCACTCTGTAGTGTTGCAATCTTTCTGAACAAGGACTTACCCTATAGAATAGACAGCAACTCTGCAAATGTGCAGTCATCAATGAACAATGGCCATATTAAGAATAGAACACTGAATGAAATATAAAACATATTCTATATGATGAAATTGGCCGATACTTGATGAAAATCCATAACTAACGTATTCAAAAAATATTTTATTGTGAGATTTTCACTAAACAGTTTCACAAAAAAGCAAACACGTGTTTTGCCATACAATGGCTTCTTTGAGTATATTTTTACTAACCATATTCTACATATTCAATGCTTAATATACCTAATTTAACAATTTGAAGTACATACATTTCAAGTACCTGACTTTTACCTGAGTTTGTATTGAATTAAATAACCTGAGCTCAAGTCTCCACATTTGGAAAAATATTCAGTAACGGGAAGTTATTTAATGGGGAATGTTCCCCCTGACGAAAATCAACTAGTTTTTATAAAAGAGCTCTAAAACAACGCATTTCAAACTTATTTTTTCAACCTTTTTCTTTAAAAAATTATTTGAATACTTACAAAAGAGGAATGAAATAATACATTCAACATTTAAAGGGATTCGTTTCTATTCCACCATTTGGCAACATCGGTTATAGCTAATAAAGGACAATGAATCTGTTACCTGTATGAGACAAACAAAGATGACATATTTCAGAGGCGTGCTGTTCTGTTTACTTATGTTCCGAGTTCCGAGACATTCTGTGACATATGACATTTTGTGCACCTAACCTATCTTCCTCTATATAAATAAATAACAAAACAACTGTTGTTTATGTGGCTTGTGGAGGT